TGTAGCTTTGCGCGAAATCCATAACAAACAAACAAACGTACTATGTGGAACGTGAGTAGGCAAAAGTTATTATACAGAAATATTACAGATAAATGAACGAAAATTTATTAAAATAACCTCAAGCTTCCACATTCTGAAATGAAAGTTTAAACTATTCGATTAATTGTTTGTTATGCATTAAGAAGATTTGTTACCACTTATAATAAAAACAGTAGAAATTACTTGAGTTTCAGAAGTAAAAAAAGTACTGCGCGAGGACACATGAATTTTCGAATTTTGTTTGGACGATTTGCAGTGGAATGACACTGCAGGTGCGAACCATGGCAACAGGGATGACATGTTCAATAGCTATGTATTTGGTTCACTGTAATTTCCAGACCACCACTTGACATTGCAATGCCACCCCAACTAAACTTTTGGCTGGAGAGATTTGTTATTTAGCCCTTTTCGAAGAAAGATATTCGCAGAGCGAGATTTTTTAAATAATGTAGAGTAAAACTACACCGAGGAAAGTCTTCAAAACAACCCGCAAAATAGAGGGTTTAGGATAGCAACAGGCTTCTACGGAGCTATACCTTTATCCACAAAGTTAAGGCTACGAAAAAGAACCCTCCGATCCTAAATAAATAAATAAAAAAAAATAATAATACTACGCTAAAGCTGGGAACATATTTTTTGGTATTGTTAACTAGATACTAAACAAAGATTTGGAGTTGAGGAAGGCCCACAAGATTCCAGCCACACTTCAAAATAAGCATTTTGTTCATAATAAAGTCATTTGATACAGATCCAATAGACTCTTTACGTTTGCAATGAAATATGTTTTCTAAGCATTTAAACAACAGATTTTATTTGATTAAGGTAAACTTGGTTATGATATCTACAATTTAGCCAATGATTCTTAAACGTTGTACTTATTTACTATAAACATTTTTGCATGTTTTTTGAATTCTGATCTTGAATTATTTAGTAGCTTCAGGTCATGAGGAAATTTAGAAAAAATAAAATCTAATTTTGGCACTCCTTTTCATGTCGCCGAAGCTTCGAAAATGAATTTACTTTGAGAGTCGAAATTTATAAAACTTTCTGTCACCAAACCATAGTATATCACTTGTTGAATCTTCACGTTGTTTGGATATAGCTCTACAAAGAGTTATATGCGCACAATCACCACTGATTTTGATTTCATAGACTAGAGAGAAAGCAGGGAGTTAACACTAACTACTGGTTGCTCTGGTTTGATTAACTAATGGGAATTTACTTTCACTCTTATAACGCAACTACGACCCTAAAGTGCGGAACGGGATTTTTCGGCAACGGGACTCGAACCACGAACCCTCGAATTCACACTCCGTGCATGCTAAACATTCGCAACGCCCTGTATCTATACCCTTAATTTATATCTTAATATCTGTGTTCTGGAGTATGTAATGAAAGTTGCCTTACACTTGCTACTGTGTCTATAAATGTTAATTGTTATCGCATCAGCGTGTATATGCTAGAGAAGCAAAACAACAGTAAACGTGAACGGGATTCAGAATTTGTTATTTGTGCCTTTAAGAACGGATACAAATCACGTGTATTTTCTTATTTGTATTCTGTGCAGTTTTAATTGTTCTTATTTTATATATTTCTTGTACACACACCTCGAAGGAAAAAACAAACAAACAATCATATAAACCTATTATATAGTTCTTTATCGTTAAGCACAAAACTACACAGTGGGTCACCTGTGCTCTGCCCTCCGCGGATATAAAAACCAAATTTTTAGCGTTGGTTCATTGTTAAGCACAAAGCTACACAATGGGCTATTTGTGCTCTGCCCACCATGGGTATCGTAATTCGATTTTAAGGGTTGAAAGCACGCAGACTTACCGTTAAATTACGTTTCATTGAAACTTGTGATAAAAGGCTGAAATGCGGTGAAAGCAAAAATACGATCAAACGTATTGGAAAAGAATTTCCTGTTCTTTTACGATGAAATTTCCAACAGTGGTTTACATCAAACTCAGGGAACTATCAGGCACTCATATTGATGGGTTTGTTTTGAAACACGAGCAAAGCTACACGAAGGCTATCTGCGCTAGCCGTCCCTAATTTAGCAGTGTAAAACTAGAGGGAAGACGGCTAATCAACACTACTCTTTACCATCGAATAGTGAAATTAACCGTTATATTATAACAACCCCACGGCTGAAAAGGTGAGTATGATCGGTGGCGGGATTCGATCCCGTGACCCACAGAATGCGAGTGCCCTAAGCTCCAGACCATGCCAAGCTTATTTAATGTCAAAGAAGAAGTGAAAAAATGAAAACCCTAAAAGGCAAACTTTACAACTTATCTGATATACGCATGAAGAGTAGATTAGTAGTTGTATTTTATTCTCCGCGACAGGGCATCAATGTCTTAAAAGAGAGACTTGACTTACTTTTAGGTCTTAACTACAAATCTTAAGAAACAAAATAGTTGGGATTTTTTTGTGTTAGAGCAAAGGCTCCTTATGTACTTTGTAAACAACTTGTGAGATATGATGTATCTATCTGTAGTTGTTTCTTACAGAGGGTTAACGGTTCTCTTGTCATTCGTACAGACATTATACGACACCTATGTGTTTAGTGGATAATCATTACTCTTTAACACGTTACACTGTGTTCAGGGACTTGGCGAGGGGTGTCGCAAAAGGTGATAAGATGCATAATTGGATCACTTGAATGCTATATGTAAATAAAGAGAAACACAATGCGTTCAAACCACTGCATACTTTCTAGAAATTCCCATTTTGTCGACACATTTCAGCCAAGTACCCGCCCTCCTTCCCAAATATAGGGACTTCGCTGATTGAACATATAGCACAGACTGAGCAAGGTTCGTTTTGAAATGTATCAGAAAGAATCATAACAGTCAGTTATGTACCATTACTTTCAATGGAAAGATGTCGAATGACTTTGCTTTGAGCCTGTTTGTTAAGCCTCTTTTTTTTTCTTATGTGGTACGTGATGTGTTTCATGCGAAGATAGCAAAGGACCTTAAATCGGAAACTATAACGACGAATAAACCTGTATACCAACTCAGTCAACCATTTCATAAAATGTCACATTGCAACTTTTCTCGTTTGGTCCACAAACAACCAGAGAAATAATTTTCATCAATACATGCATTTATTGAACCTTATTTTTTTTTTTCCCTTTTAAAAGAACTTCATAATAGGCATTTTCGTCATTTACAAAAAAACAAAAAAACAAAAAATCACATATAACATACTGTTTAAGTGGAATTGATTACACAGGGTGTACAAACATCATGCTCTGAGTAAAAAGAAAAAAAATTACTCTTTTTTTTGTTTGTTTGTTTGTGGTATATGAGTGCTGAAAGTCTTTTCAATCGTAACATAATATTTAGGATTCCTCCGACTCTACACAGGGATCAGATCATTGGGATCAATGACTCCGAAGTTCTTGTTGAGCTTGTAGTACTCCTCGGACTTGTCGCAAGAGATAGCAGCGTCTGGATCAGAACAGGTCATGGTAGCCTGGTTGAAGACGGTCAGGTTTCCACATAGGAAACTGAAGTGCCTCTTGGGTGGTAAGCACACGTGAAATACCTTACACTTATTGGAAATATCAGCGTAATAACCATAGATTCTGTCTTGGCACGAAAAAGAAGTGTCCAACTCGCCCACCAGGAGATCTACACCCGCAGGTAGATTGAAGGCAGACTGGCGTCTGACACGCTAAATATTTACAATTTGAGTGGTTAATACACTGTGTTATGTAAAAAAACTTGAAATAGAAATGAAAATCATGAACATACAAGATATGAAAGGATATTAATGTCACATGGTACTAATTCTTTTGTTTCTTTTGAATTTCGCGCAAAGCTACACGAGGGCTATCTGCGCTAGCCGTCCCTAATTTAGCAGTGTAAGACTAGAGGGAAGGCAGCTAGTCATCACCACCCACCGCCAACTCCTGGGCTACTCTTTTACCAACGAATAGTGGGATTGACCGTCACATTATAACGCCCCAACGGCTGAAAGGGCGAGCATGTTTGGTGTAAAGGGGATTCGAACCCGCAACCCTCAGATTGCGAGTCGAGCGCCCTAACCACCTGGCCATGCCGGGCCATGTTGGTAGGTAAACTGTAAATAATTGGCTAGAACTTTCATATGGAGATAAAGAAAACATAATAAAACAGGTGTTAATTAAGCTTTCTGTAAAACATGTTTAGGGTGTAATTAGGTCAACTAATCTGGTTCCGATAGTAGTTGAAAGAGAACTTACCATGTGATTTGCAGCACTTGCAACAACAACGCAGACAGCTAGAAAAAAAATTAAAATCACAACGGTGTCTCCTTTTAAGGAAACAAGAAAATGTCAACGAAATACACTGAGAGAATGTGTTACTTAAATAGAAGAGGGTTAGACGTGTAAGGAAATTATATAACAACGCAGACAGCTAGAAAAATAATTTAAAATCACAACGGTGTCTCCTTTTAAGGAAACAAGAAAATGTCAACGAAATACACTGAGAGAATGTTACTTAAATAGAAGAGGGTTAGACGTGTAAGGAAATTATATAACAACGCAGACAGCTAGAAAAAAATCACAACGGTCTCTCCTTTTAAGAAAACAAGAAAATTTCAACGAAATACATTGAGAGAATGTGTTACTTAAATAGAAGAGGGTTAGACGTGTAAGGAAATTATCGTTAAACGTAGGAGAGAATTTGTAAAAATCATTGAAAGTTAAGATGCGAGGTGTAGTGTATTTTGTTGAGCTTCAGTAGTAGTTTCTATAATGCACGAATTGAAAAATTGTTTGTGTTTGTCCTACTTTTATGCATCTTTCAAAGCATTTTGTGAAATATTTGAATAAAGTTTTATTGTTGGTTTAAGAAAAGTAATTTGCAAATTGATTTAATGAATTATATGAAAAAAAATGAGAGCAAAGAATTAGTAAAAGTAAACTCAGTCTTAGCGTTTTGATTTTCAACTGATATTTATATTAAAATTCTTATAACTTGATATTATTGTAGTTGTAGTTTATAAGTACACAAAATAACTCCTTTTTACAGAGAAGTATATTAGGATAGTTTTGGATTTTCGAACTTCAAGAAGTAAATTGGTGCTACAGATAAAGTGGGTCTAGCATTGAAAAAGCAACTTACCCAACAGGAATACACCTTTCATAATGACGATTTCTAAAACGAAACAAGAAAGCTTTGCCTCAATTGGTTGAAAATCTTACGAGCTTGTGAGAAAGCTCATGTTTTAGTTAAATTAAAATATTAATTAGTGAAACTGAAATATGTTACTTTAAAAAAAGGTCATAATCACCAAAAATTGTTTTAATTTGTATGAATATTAAAAAAAAACAGTACAGACTGGAATTGTAGTGTCTGGGAAACACTGGGTCTTTAAAAGGAGTTACGAATTCTAAAAATAATATACAGTTGAATACAAGACATGAGAAGAAAAACTGCAAAATCTTTATTTGAAAGAGTCATTTATTTACATCCGTTCTCTTACCTCAGTTATTTAAAACCTGCAGTCAGCGCCTCCTAGGGAAGATTCAATATTTTCCTTGTTCATTTTGCCCTTTTATACCAAATTTGAGTTCTTTGATGGCTTCAAGGATATTACTGAAGAAGATATGTAGGTTAGGAGGTGTGTCTTGAGCATTACGGAAAAAATCAAACATTTTAAATTATTCTACGTCATCAGGTCAAGGGTCAAGCAGATGATCCTACTAGGTGAACAAGTTTCTTTTTCGTGTTAGAAACAGACAGAGTTGTTGGATAAGTAACTTAGATGCAAAACAAAATCGTAAACCTGTTCACCTAGGGTTACTAGTTAGCAATAAATACGTAATTTATAAATGGCGTTTATTAGCTTGTAACACATTCGTTTGGCGAGATATTTAGAAACTAACGAAGGGTTGAGCTGTAGTTATGGAAACAAGACAGATTCTTGACTGCTGCTGTTAAATTTCAATTATGTAGCATTTCGAAAATTTGGTACTAACTTTTGTGTTCTAGACACCTTCAAATATCCCTTGCCCTCACGCACCTTCATTTGTGACTCGCAGTGTCAGTACTAGTTTTGTACTAAAACCTAAAATACAGTGTTTTGACATATAAAATATAAAGTTCTCTTTGTTGAAAACTAGCGTGTGGACTTTTTATACAAATGTTTTTTTTTATGATTCAGAGGCTAGAGTGCTGGACTGTGGATCTGCAGCTCCGTGATACGTTATAATTGTTTGTTTTTTGAATTTCGCGCAAAGCTACACGAGGGGTATCTGCGCTAGCAGTCCCTAATTTAGCATTGTAAGACTAGAGGGAAGGTAGCTAGTCATTACCACCCACCGCCAACTCTTGAGCTACTCTTTTACCAACGAATAGTGGGATTGACCGCACATTATAACGCCCCCACGGCTGAAAGGGCGAGCATGTTTGGTGTGATGGGGATTTGATTCCGCGACCCTCAGATTGCGAGTTGAGCGCTCTAACCACCTGGTCATGCCAAGCCTGGATACGTTATAAAGTTGACAGTCGAATTCTATTATTCGGTCAGACAAGAGTAACCCTGTGGATCCGAAATTCCGTAGGTGCGTTATAAAGGTGACAGTAACATTCAAGTTTTTGGTCAGACAAGAATAGCCTTGCGGATCTGAAGTTCCGTGGGTGTGTTATAAAGGTGACAATCCAATTACATTATTCGGTCAGACAAGCGTTGACAGTAGATGACGTTGTCTAGCTGCCATCCCTCTAGTCTATCACTTCAAAATTCGGGATGACTAGCGCACATAAACAGATAGGTCTCGTGTGGCTTTGCGCGAAATTCAACAAAATATAAACACTTGTATAATTCCGTGTTGGTGCATAAGATTTCAAGAACACAAAAATATTGTTTTTATAGCACCCTAAAAGTAACTCTCGACTGAAGTGCATGCATACTAAGGATTGACACTGATTTAATAATATCGAGCAGGGAAGATTTTCTCTCTGGGGAAGTTACACATCACGGGGAGGAGATATGCACAGTGAAATCTACTATACGTATCTGAAATAATTATACTTCTAGATAAGCGCGGGTTTCAGTATACATATGGCTTAATCTAATGGTGGTGGTGCTTTATCCAGGGGATCACGGGGAGGAGATATGAAGGCAGCTAGTCATCACCACCCACCGCCAACTCTTGGGCTACTCTTTTACCAACGAATAGTGGGATTGACCGTCACATTATAACGCCCCCCACGGCTGAAAGGGCGAGCATGTTTAGTGTAGCGGGGATTCGAACCCGCTACCCTCAGATTGCGAGTCGAGCGCCCTAGCCACCTGGCCATGACGGGCCGAAAGCTTACGAACACCTATTACTTAGGAAAGCTTTACGAACACCTTTATTAGATAGTATCGATCAGGAATGAATGTGCTACCAAAGATGATCTATGACACCTTCATTCGCGAATTACGATCAAATATAATTTTGTATTTACTAAATTTAATAGAATTTTGAAGGGATTTTAAATATTTAAGAACCACGCAACGAAGTCTGCTTCTTAATTACCACAGCGATTTTGATTAATACGTAAAGGAAACGAGAATCTTAGAAAAAGTTTGGGGGGTATTTTTCTGTGTCAATATTTTAATGTCATAGGTGCTAAGGCTATCTGCTGCCGTCTCTGTTTTGTAACTATTGACCAGAGAGAACACAACCCCCACCTCCCACTCCTAAGAAATTAACTGGCATTCCTATATCGCATCCACAGCTTAATGTGCTGGGAATATTTTTTGTACGACACGGATTCGAACCCGGTAAGCCAGTTCCGAGATTCCAGAGCTCTACCACAGGGCTCAACCGTGATCCCCTGGATAAAGCACCACCACCATTAGATTAAGCCATATGTATACTGAAACCCGCGCTTATCTAGAAGTGTAATTATTTCAGATACGTATAGTAGATTTCACGGTGGACTCTAGTCTTACCCTGCTAAATTAGGGACGGCTAGCGCAGATGGTCCTCGTGTAGCTTTGCCCGAAATTCAAAAACAAACTAAACCAAAACAATCGTAAGCTTTCCCAAGTCAAATCAAACACCAGATTCTAGTCAAACATTACAAATGTGGGCGTAATTTATACGGGAGACGTGTGGTGCAGGCAAGTCGCACTTCGTCCAAGAATCCCCTCCTACATACTCCAGATACAGAAACTGTTCACTCCCACCCCACACCTCCCACTTTTGAAACCCAAGCTATGCCAATGATTACAGTTTGGTCAGCTGATCTACAGATGTGGCGCAATTTATATAGCGATGCTACATTTTGGAGAACTTAAGCCTAATGTTTATTATGTAGTTTTTGCGAAACAACACGATTTTAAAATTCTTTGTCATTGAGAATCTTCCTTTGTTTCCATCAGATCAAGGTTACACATCCTCCAAACTCACCTCTTCCGCGAAACCAATGGTGTCCTTGAATAGAGTGACATTCGTTATGACCATCTGGCGCTATTGTGTTGTTTTGTTTGTTCTGTGTAAAGTACGCGGTATTAAAAAAAACAACAAAAATACCGTTATGGTTGCCAATGGATTTTGGCGGGAAAGACAGAGAAACTGAATACACCAGCTATGAATAACTTGGGCTCCAGGTGTCTCAAGTTAATCAACAAGAATTACGAGACTTGTTAAACTTGTTTTCAAGGATAGAAAAAGTTGTGATATTGAATGAATATGGCTTGTTTGTAATTAAACACAAAGCTACACAATGGGCTAGCCGTGCTCTGCCCACCGCAGACATACCGCCGTGCTACTGGGGGCGAAAGAATATGGAAGTGTAAAAATAATAAAGATAAATACATTTATATATACAGTAGGTAGGTCCGGCTTAATATCTAGTATTATTATCGTTATTGTTTTTTTTTTTTAAATACGCAAATACGAGTATATTTGAATGTAAAACATAATTAAATTATCCGATGTTAAACAATTCTTACATAAACACTATGGCTGAAACTTGAAGAATTTAATGAAACAATATGTCTGACTACTAGTTTAAAACAGGATTCCCCAAAATTGAAGTATCGCAATAAATTTCGCCACGTTTGTAAGTCAGTTGGCTAAACTTATAAACTTTACGTTTATTAG